TTCTCTCTCTCTCTCTCTCTCTCTCTCTCTCTCTCTCTCTCTCTCTCTCTCTTCCCATGATCAACTTGTCACCCTATGGTCTTGTGGCGGTGCGCAGGGAGGAAGGAAGGGAAGAGAGTGGTTTACCGGCCAATTAGCTTTCTTCCTTGGTCTGGCGGCGGGGGAGGTGATGGCCGAGAGAGGGAGGGAGAGAAGAGGGGAAAAGCGGAGGGTTGGCGGAGTTTTAATTTTTTTCCCTCTTCCCCCATTTCCTTCCAACCTGTTACCATATTCACGACGGACGGAGAAGCGCAGACAGTGGATCCCTTTTATGCATACATATATTTCACGGGATCCCGATACGATTCAATATGATGCGATACGGTTGTATACATAAGCTACATACAATGATTCCTTCCCTCAGCCCCCCAGAGTTATCCTCTCAGGCCCACTTTTACCTGAACCGTAAGGGCTTGAAGTACCGGTATGTGACACCATTTTACCACCACCTCCGTCCGTCGCCACTGATAGATTGAGAGAGAAGAGAAGTATGATATGTATAAAAAAGTATTGCCCCCGGGAGACAAAGGAGATGGAAGAGGTGGGAGGAAGAAAAAAGAAAAAAAAACAGGGCCTAACCCGTAAAGTGATGGAGATAAAGCATTACCGTGAAAGGAAAGTAAGAGGAGTGAATGAGATTACTTTTCCAAGAAGCGATTGAAAAAGGAATCAAACCAAACACCCATTCCCTAGAGGTTGAACGATAGACACGAATTGGGGTAAAATAATTAGAGCGAAAAAAAGGAGGCCCAAATCAAACAAATGCAAAACACCAGAAAAAATGAAGAAAAAAAATGAAAAATGAAAAAAGTTGAGAGTAAGAATGAACAGTTAGAAATTTATATCCGATCCCCTTGCCGTTGTCCTATCCCCCCCATTTGCTCCTTGTTTAATGGTTAATGGTGTAAATAAATAGAAAGCAAGGAAAAAAGGAAATGAAAAAAAACGAGGATATTTATGGTCATGACGGGTCGTGAGTCGCTGTGGCCAAGGTCCTCTAAATCTCCGAATCTTCAGAAATCCGGAGCACAGAAAGCAGAAATTGGCTCGATTCCTCTCCGGCCTTAGCTTCCGAAATTCCTTATCCATGCCAGGGGGAGGAGGCCCAGAGGGAAATTATGCCGGATTATGCTCGCTCGAAAAATAGTGAAAAAAAAAAACTTGACTTTTTCCAATCCAAGTTTGTAAAAATACAATCCGCCCGTGAAGAAAGAAAATAAGCCCCGTCCCACCAATCACCGCCCGAAACCCTATTTTATGTGCAAAGGAAAGCGCAAGGAAGTGAGGGAATCGTAGTGCGGTGCAGGTTCGAACGGGCGGTCATTTTAATCGACTGGTCGAATTCCGATTTCGCGCTCCGGTTCCTGGGTCCCCCGTTATTTTTGAGGTTGCCATTAATGATCCAATGTACCTGTAATGAGAAACCCCCGGTTAGTTACTGCTGTGTGCGGAGATAGATCCATGCCAGTCCCAGAACCAAGTATGGAAAGCCAGACAGCGGTTGGCCAGAAAGTGGAATAAGAATGGGGGGGAGAGCCAGAGGTGAGCAGTACTCTTGCAAAAAGCGGTTTTCCCCTTCCAGTTTATCGTGCTCTTCGCGAACCTTATCGACACGATCTAGTAATGCCAAAAGACCGGACTGGAGGGTTTTGGCTTGTCTAGGGAAGGAATAAAGGGCTGGTGTCAGCCTGCCGTAAACGAAGGGATACTTGTAGTGATTGAAGTGAACCAGGAGATCAAACTCACTGTTCTAACGTAGCCTTCGCTTCCCTGCCTATTTTCTCTAATTCTTCGCTGTTCCGTCGAGGGCTCATGCTCCGTGCGTCGTCTTCTCCGTAGGCCTCTCTTTCTATCACCGGTGACCTGCCTCTTTCTACCATATCGCCACTGCTTCGTGAACGCGCATCGTGATTTGCGTGGTGGTCCATGGGGTCTTGGTCTCCGCGTATCGAGTCGGGGGCGAAGGAAGCGGAGGAGGTTGAGAGTGTAGGTGATTCGGGTGCTCCAACTTGGGAACGGGAGGAATAGGTTCGGGTAATAGGAGGTCTCGTTGATGACATGGTCAAGTTAAGGTGAAAGGAAGTGGTGGTGGCGACGGTAGCGAAAGGAGTTGTAGCGGTAGTAGTGATGACGGCAGCGGCGGAGAGTGTCGAAGATGCCAGCTTCTTGTACGGTAGTTGTCTGAGACCCGGCGAGGTGGTGTGGTTATAGATTTAGTGGTGGAGGGGGGTTGTCACTACGAGTCCTGTACGTAAAGAGGGGGAGAGGCGGGAACGCCAAACTAATAGCCGCCGCAAACAGAAACAGGCACTTGCCAGAAGGACACTGAAAAATCCGAAAACACAGAAAAAACACAGAAAAAAAAAGACAGAATAGAAGAGAGTGGTATCAGATGAATGGAAGAAATGATGAATAAGTAGAAGACTTAAAAGCGAAGCACGTAGGTCCCTCCTATTATTAACATTTAAAAAAACCCACTTTTTTTTCCCCTTCCCTTTCCTTTTTTTTTCCGTTTTTCTTCTATCCTCTCCCAGGATTTCTCCTTCTGCAGAAGCAGCCAGCGGTGAAGAAATGATTTCTTTTTTTTCTTTTGTAGGTCTTGAATGTAGTGGTGGACGGTGGTGGTGGTGGTTGGAGGGGATGAGAGGCAACGGTGGTACGGTATGTTATTTGGGTGGTCGTGTGGTGGAGGGGGGGGGGAGAGAAAGTGGAGGTAGGGCAGTGAAGGGCGGCGACGGGAGAATGAGAAGTGGTAGCGTGGGACGGCAACCCTTTTTCGAGTTAGAGGGTGGGAGGGAATGGCTCCCTCGAGCGAAGAGTGTATCCGTTTTAGCTGTGGGTCCCTTCCGCCCTTCGTCAGACCGTTTCGTGAAAATGAGTGCCTGTGTCTTGCTACGAGTACTGTACTGGTGTATCGTGGTATATATCGCACAGGAACTAAATCTCTCCGTATCGAGCAGGAACACTTAACCAGAGGTGCGTGTGAGGATGCAAATGGGAACTCAAAATGGTGCGGGTGCCCGGATGTATATGTACGACGTGTGAGCGAACGAGTTGTAGAGCAGGGTACTCGTACAGTAGAGTAGAGTAGGGTACCGGTAGTGAGTTCAAAGTGTACAGTACCAATCAGTGCTCGTTTCTCTTCTGCCTATCTTCTCCCTCTTTGCTTACCCCCTCCCCCCAAAAAAGAAAAGGATGATATTGAGAATAAAATGTCCACAGAGACGTGCTCGCACGATACGAGTACCGGGAAGTGCTGCCACTCTATTTCTTCCGTGCTGCAGCTGCGGAGGATAGCTCTGCCTGCCTACATAACTTGACTTGCTTGTACGAGTGCTCTTGCATGCTTCCCATCTTCCTAACCTCCAGCAGAGAATAAATATATACAATATTATAATTAAAGAGAAGGATCGGGGATCCAGAAAAAATCTCTTGCCCCCTCATCATCATCATCATCCTTCCCCCAACGTTCATGATCCCAAAAAGGTGTGAATAGTTGAAGCAATTCCGGTTCCTTCTTCCCCAGAGCCATCATGCCTCGCTAGCTCCCTAGCCCCTTGAGCCTTCAGTGGGCCGTGTGCTCGTCGAACTAAACCTACTTGCATACACCTCACAACTCTCTTTTCTGGGATGAAATGGTGAGATCGCAGACCATCGCTCATCAATTTCAACGACCCCTCATCACAAAGCCAAAAAGGATAGGCCTCGCTCGCTCGCGCCAGGCAACTCTCATGAGTTAAACCGTCGTGATGGGTGGTGTCCACCTCCCGTACCGGGTGGGCACTTACACTGCCGCGTTACCTCTTTCCAGATAATCTCTTTTTTTCCTCATCCTCTCACAACTCATTACCCCAAACGGTCTCTGTAGGCTCGTGATTCACTTATCATTTTACGGTACCCGGTATCAGGGTGCCCTTTTTTTTTTCTCCCTCTCTTTCCCTCTCTCGCAGAGAACTGATAGGATATCCGCCGAAGTAAAAACAGGGGACGGAATGCACGGTGACAGGATGCCTGCCGGTAGAGAAGTTTAAAAAAAATGCGGAGTGGTATTGAGCAACTCCCCCGGCCCACGGGATGCCGGTAAACTTCTCCAGAAAAAAAAAAAGGGTCCCCGCCATTCCTGTTTCGAGTAATTCAGGATTAAGAGATTACTCGTATGATGACAATTAACTTGTGTCGAACCCGTTTTGTGAGTTCCATGGACTGAATCAAACCGATCAGATATGGAACCTCGAGGAATTTCGAAAAGTACGACGGCCTGAATCAAAAGCGGTTTCCCCCAACATGATATGCCATGACAGCTCTAAGTAATAGTGAGTTATGAGGGTGGACTTGGCGTCGAAATATCTGCTGGGATGCTAAGCTGTTAGGGACATTGTCGGCATTGAATCAGCACGGGCATCCGATTCCCCTGCCCTTGTTTTGGCGGGCATCATATCAGTTTTTCCGTTTTCTCCTTCACTTCTCACTCTTCACTGGGGAAAGAGGGAACGAAGACACTTTTTTTTTGTGATTCCTGCACAAGTCGTGCTCTACTTGTGTTAGCCCAAGTCTCTCCCTGCGAATTAGACCTTTCCTCTTTGTCACACCTTATATCATCGCGAATTAAAAAGGCAACCCTCTCTCTCTCTCTCTCTCTCCGGAAAAAGTAATTAAAATAATTATCATAGGTAAATCCTTTTCACAACCAGGCTGCACACTAGTCTAACTCTAAGACCGAAGCGTGGAGGAGGCACTGAAGTGTGATGGTATCGGTATGATAGAGGGAGGGAGGAATACCGTACTGCGCGGTAGGGAAAAAGAGAGGAAGAGAGGATATAAACGAATATGATTTAACATGGGGTTGTAATGCGGTGCGAACAAGTAGACTACGGTATCAAGAGAATACCGTGCTACATGCTACAGTGCACCTTTTTTTCTTTTCTTTCCTTTTCGTTTCGTTTCGTTTTGTGCAGTTCGGAACACTCAAGTTCACCCCCAGAACTATACTGAACACAGGGAGGAAGTGTGTAGGGTGCTTGTTGGATCATTTTCAACTCATTTCACTCCATTTTTCCTTTTTTTTTAATACGTCGCTCGGTTATGCCATGTAATTCGTGCGGGTCCAATGACGAAGGGTGAGGGAGGGGGGGTGGAAACAGAATGACAGGCGTGGAGAGCACCTATGACGAGTGTTTTGTCGGAGGTGCCATTGGGATACCGGTATGGGAAAAGAGCAACGGGGCGGTGGGTGGGGGACTCTCCCTTTACGAGGACTGCTTGGGCATGCCTCCCTTAGGAGGGCAGCTGGCGTGGGTTGGTTTGATCTGCGCTGAGACGAGGTTTTGGGCTTGGGGGGGGGGGAAGAACATATCATAATAATCCCATGAGTGCCGTTCTGCAACCGTGGGAAGTGATGATTAACAAATTGGGGGGGGGGGCTGTGAGACATGGTTGAGGGCTGGGGAGAGAAGGCGTGGAAGAGTGGTCAGAAGGTTCGTGACTTGGGCTTCGAGGAGGGAGCAGTGGTGAAGGGTGCGGAACTTTGAAGCGTCAAATCGGGCCCTCTACTCGTACAGTACTCGTATCAGCCAGCAGAGATTCCGGTCGCTGGATGGTTAACGGTTGGTCGCATCTAGCACTGTGCCAAAACCTGCCAAAACCGTAGGGTACAAGTACAGTACAGTACTCGTACATATCACTCCTTCTCTTACGAGCCACGAGCCTGTTAATGTGCTATAAGTGGCCGGAACCAGAAACTGTGTTGTTGAGGGGAACGGAGGACGGGGAAGTCCACCGTAATACCGGTACACTACTTTTTTTTTTCTTCCCCTTTTTGAAACCGTCTCAGCATCGACGTTTAGGGAAGAAAGTCTTTCCGTCTCATTTTTACCTGTTGTATCCCCATTTATCGTGATACAAGCCCAGGTGCTTCTACTTGTACGAGTACCGGTACCCCCCCCCCTCTCTGGCTATCGTACAGTGCTGTATCTTGCGTCAGAGTTCCACCTTTTTGAGTGGCAGGTTGCCGAAACCCTAATAATACCAATGTGTTCAACCCTGTGGGTTCGAGAATATCGACTTGCCGATATGGTTCTGGTGCTTCCTTTTTTCCTCCCCTTTTCCTTCTCGGGATACCATAGGAATACGGTAGGAATGCTGAGGCGTTTTGGGCCATCTACGGTATGATATCGTATCGCGTGCTGCTGCTGTTGTAACATCATGGCTACCGTAGTCGGAGGAATTCAAAATAAGCCACCGGCCCAGGTAACAACTGTCCGCTGAGTGGACGACACAGAGCTAGCTACTGGTACGGCAGGATGCCGGTACCATGCCGGCTGCCGGCATTAGAGTTGAGTGGTGATCACTGCGGTTAGAGATCGTGTTGAGCACCATCGACGAATTGGTCGACCAGAATGACATGGCTAACCCTTAGTTGGGCCCTCAACGCCAACAAAGTCGGAGGACAGGTAAAGTTGCCAATTTCGTGTTGATATTTGGGTTCATATACGAGTGGCTAGCCCCCTCACAGCTAGGAGCTGAAAAGGGGAACGGAGGATCCGCTCCTCCGCCTCCTTGGATTATCCACAGCCGTCATTCCCATGTAAAGGCCGGTAGGCCTTCCGCATGGAGATGTGAACTATGATAGTCTCCGGGTGCTGTGCTCGAGTACCAGTACGAATACTCTACTCGTATTTTCGTCCTCAAGTGCCGGTGTTAGCTCTGCACCACCACGTCTTTTCTCCTATCTTTTGCCAGAGATACCACCAACTGTCCGGATATGATGGGACGATTTAGGCGAGCGAACTCTCTTGTTGGACTGGATGGATATGGCCCTTCTAAATGAATTCATCAATTCTACCCTACCGTCCCCTACAAATATTCTGGGTTGCTGTCATTGCAACGGTTCCGGGATGGGCTCGGTGATTTGGCGGGTTTCACTTTTTTTTCGTCGAGCTGCGGGTATCCAGCGGCTATGGAAGCTGACCACGGGGTTTGCAACAGTAACGAACGATGGAAGCACAGTCAAGCTTGGGGAGGGTGACACTGGCTGGGTGGGGGGTTCCAACCTCATGCCGTACTCCATTTGTTGTCCTCCAGAATAACAACTGCACCGTCCCTGATCATCGCGTTATTCCTGCTTTCCCCACCGGTTCAACCTCATCTGGTGCTCTCCTGTCTCGTTTGTGCCTTTTGTAACGGCCGAGATTGAAGGTGAGGGATCGTCACGTCTCTCCCCCAGCTCCTGCTTTGGACCAACAATCCCCCCCACCCCTTGTATTGTCCTCTGCGTTATCGGTACCGTAGTCTACGGCAGTCTGCCCGATACTTGATTGTTTTGTTTTGTTTTCTTTGGATTTTCCTTGTTTTTGATACTTGTAGTTTGCTTTGACATCCAACGCCCCCCCGAGATATACTCGTACGATACTGTACAGTACTAGTACAGGTACCGGTACCGTGTCTCGATTGTTGTCATCCCCGAATCCGAGTGTTCTTTGCGGTGGTCGTTGGTTTGGTGTTGCTTTTTGTGGTTGTGGCGGTCCCGCTGCCATTGCGCCTCAACCCCTCCCCCCTTGTGTAAGGTCGGATATCGACGCAACGACAACCCTACCGTAAATTTACGCTACCCAACCGCTCCAGCTGGAAGCGGAAGCAGTGCCCTGTGACGATTGCTATCCCGCTACATCATCACCTCCCGTCATCATCCATTATCGGTAACAGCACTTCCCCCCGCACTGCCTCATCTCCTCCCCGATGTCCCACCGCCAGCGTCGAGCGGGTCCTGGAGGTTCACAACGTTCAAGGCAATCTGTCCTGGTGACCGCTGACGATGCTTACAACTATGCCCTCCGTTGCGCTTACCTGGCCTACCTGCTCCAGCCCCGTCCTAGGCGACAGGTCCCCACTCCCGCCCCGCCACAGGTCCATCGTTCGTCGACCAGCTTCCATGAGTTGATGCGGGATTTCGCTAGCCATACGAGCCGAGGATCCAAGGGTAACAAGTTTCCTAAAGGCTTTCTACCCGCACTTCAGCCGAGGTTAGAGGGTGTGGTTATGGGAAGGGAGTCTGGCGCCGAATACAAAGATACTGCTGTGAAACGAACATTCGGAGCCTTCTACGCCGCTTTCAGGGAGCCTCGTTTCTATGAAGGAGTGGCAAAGTCTCGACGGGCCGAGGACCTGGTCTTGATCTTTTATTCTTCGGCTACTAAGGAATTACAGAAGGTCAAGCAGGATGATTCATGGAAATGGTTATCCGACCGTCATGTGGCGTTGTTCGTGAGGCTTATGTACAGCGTCCTCAAGGAAAAGGATTGGATCGGGAGTTACCCCGAATTGGCGTCGCAATTGGCATCTCTGGAATCCAAGCTGCTCCAGCATGATCAGAATCTGGCGGAGGAGACCCGCCGGACTTCTACGGTGATGGTCATGGCCCCCCCAGCACCCTTGAGCTACGATGTCAATGACATGCCCTTGGTGGGGATAGTAGCTAGGATTTTTGGTGTATCTCTGCAGAAATGCCAGCAAGATATTAACGTGAATAAATCCTTGTGGACGGAGAAGGCAGCCCTCATGGATATGAAGGCATATAGCAATAACTTGAGTCTCGGGAATACTAGGCGGGCGTTGCGGAGTGAGGATTTTGATACGGATGAAGCGTGGGAAGCATGGCGGAAATTGGAGACACCAGCTCTCTCCCAGATCATGCTCGAAATTGTACAGTCGAATCCTTCGGAGCTCGCAAAAGCGACTTCTGGCCCGAGTCCGATTACGACTCGACCGCAATCTTTGCAGCAGAGCAGTGCATACCCCTATCATGACCCTTCACGGTCGTCCACATCATTGGATGCATCTTCTTCCATGCACGGCTATGATCACCCAGTCTACATGGGAAATTTCAATGTATCCACCCCTGTCGCTGACAATATACTTGACACGCCGTATACCTATATTCCGCCGGACCCTCGAGTGTATTTCCGCCACGTGGTTGAAAAATGCCTTTCGTATGACCTTCGGGACCCTGATGCTCTTCCGATGGACGTCCCAGGGGCTGATCCTGCTGTTCTTCTTTCGAAGGGCTCCTTAGATATTTTGAGTGAGTGTTGTGCACGCTGGCGCATTCCCCAGTTTTCTAGTTCGATCTTGTTCTTGGATGTTATCCGGAAGTTTTACCAGGATCAAGACATCGATCTTGTTACTTTGGATGCCGCTTGGCTATATGCTAAAGGGACCACCGATTTTGATTGGAGAAATTGGACGATAGCTGATCAGAATCTCTATCGCCTGATATTGTCATCTATCCATGATACCCTCCTCAGGGATCTCTATGATCTTCTCCAACATGCATTTGACCCAAAAGCTAAGCCCGTTGGGCGGGTTATGTACATCCTAAACCAGCACATATACGAGGACCCATTATTCACATCGACTAGTTTGGAGAGCTACATTGAACAATTGAAAGAAGGACTACGGAATAGGGCGTCCGAGGTACTCGGGGAAATTGTCAGCGAGCTACCCCAAGACAGAAACGAGTTGGATCCATTTCATCTGGTTGAATTGACCCAGAAAATCATTAAACTAGCGGAGAAGGTTAACAAACGTTTTAAAGAACCTCTCATGGGGTATGTTTTTGATGATCTTCACCTGCTGATGTCCTGTGCAATTTCCCCCCCCTCAATTCTAACATGGAAATCTACCTGACTAGGTCCGTGGACCCGATGATGATATTTGTCGAGGTTGTGTTTCCAGAATATGCTGCTGTTGCACGAGAGGTGGTTCTGGGGATTATGGAGGCGTACCAGGAAAAGAACCGGGAGGTGGAGATCGAAGACGGATTTGATCTTTACAGGGAGCTATCGGAGATTCGTCGGATCTATGGAGACTTGTATCCCAAAAACGAATTCCCAATCCACCTTGAAGATTTTCTAGCGGACTTTGTGTGGCGTTGGATCAAGAACACTGATGCCAAAGTGATCGGCTGGGTTGATGAGGCTATCAAGCAAGATGACTTTATCATAAGGGTTCGTCAGGAGCAGGGGCGTGAGCCGACGGACGATGAACGCCACACAATGTCTGTAGTGGATATTTTCCGCTCCCTGAATCAGACAATCGATTACATCAAGAAGCTCGAATGGAGGGACGACGTCCAGTGTGGAAAATTCATGACGGCTTTAGCGAAGACCCTTGGCAGTGGAATTGCCAGATACTGCGAAGTATTGGAGAAGCTGTTTACTTTTGAAATGGACAGACAAACTCCGGAACAGGAGGCCGCAGCGCGCCAGACAAGGCAGCAAAGATGGATGACTATGGCGCGGGATGCGTGGAGTAATAAGGATAAAATTGAGCCGTTCCAGTTTGCTCCAGAGGTATGCCTGCTCTCAATTCTGCAGTGTTGTAAACGTACAAAAGCTAATGGCTCCCAGTCGTGTACAAAACTCAATAATATTGAATTCGCCCTTCAGCAACTTGACAAATTGGAGCACACTGTCGATGTTGACGGGGTTGCAGCGACACTTGCAAGACACACTCCACCTGTTACTCAGCAGAGAAAGAAATCCAGTAATTATGTTTTCACCATCAAGATCGTGGAGGCTGAAGACCTGAAAGCTATGGATATCAATGGCTTCAGCGATCCTTACGTGGTTTTGGGTGACGAATATCAGAAGCGATTAGCAAAAACTAGGGTCATATATAGCAACCTCAATCCAAGATGGGAAGAGACAGTGGATATCACTACGCAGGGGCAGATCTGGTTGACGGCGACGGTGTGGGATTGGGATACTGTCGGAGACCACGACTGCGTTGGGAGGACCAGTATTAAGCTGGACCCATCCAACTTCGGAGATTTCCTGCCAAAGGAATACTGGCTGGATCTGGATACTCAAGGTAGACTTTTGCTGAGGGTTAGTATGGAGGGCGAACGAGATGACATTCAGTTTTACTTTGGGAGAGCGTTCAGGACTCTGAAGCGAAGCGAGAGGGACATGACGCGACAGATTACAGACAAGGTAGGAATTCCCTCTGGTTTGAAATATACTTGGCCTAACAAAATTTTCTAGCTGTCCGCGTATATTCACCATTGCCTCTCGCGCTCTGCTCTGAAGAGTGTACTTTCTAAAGGATATAGCATATCGGCGGTCTCCAGTCTGTTTAGCCGCACAGGACTGGGCGGCAATCGCCCACCGTCAACTAGCGGGCAAGGTGTAACCGATGCGGAGATTGCAGCAGCCGTTGTCCCACTGACAGATTATTTCAATGAGAATTTCGCAATCTTGAATCAAACACTGACCAGTGCTGCCATGACTTTGGTAATGTCCAAGCTGTGGAAAGAGGCTTTGGTTACAATTGAAGGCCTGCTTGTGCCCACGCTTTCGGATAAACCATCCCAGCAAAAGCAGCTGTCTCTACAAGAGACCGAGACAGTCTTCAAATGGTTGCAGGTAATTCCCCGGGTCCCTGAGCGATCATAGAAAGGCAGAAGCTAAAACGGTGAAGCTCATGTTCGATTTCTTCCACGCCGTGGACGAAAATACAGGCGAAGCAACTGGTGTCCCCATAGACGTCCTCAAATCCCCCAAATACCATGAGCTCCAGTCCCTAAACTTCTTCTATTTCGAATCAACCGATAACCTGATTCGCACATCAGAACGCATGGCCGGTGCCTCCGCGGCCCGCCAACAGCAGGCCCGCCAGAAGATGATGGAAAAGAATAATCTGGCACCCACAAACTTTGGCGGTTTCCTGGGTGTCCCGGGCGCGAAGCGCACGAAATCCGTTCTGATGAGTAGAAACCTGGGCACAATGCGGAAAGCAAAGGAAGAGAAACGCAGGGAAGCCCAAGCTGAGCCCAACGATGATATGATTCTGCGAATCCTACGTATGAGGCCGGAGGCTGCGCCCTACCTTAAAGATCGTAGCAGACAAAAGGAGAGGCTCGCTGCTACGGCGGCAGCTGAAGCGATCGTTCGTCAGAGTATGGGCTCTGGCCCTGGGAGAATGGGAACGATGGTCCCTGGTGGCCCTTCTAGAAGGTGATTTTCGGTTGTCCTTTTTTCTTGGCAGGGAAGGAGTTATGTTCTTAATTTCCACGCTGCACTGCCCTGCCCTGCTCACTGGCGTTAGTTATCTGGCTTGGCTTAAGTTGGTTGGTTGGCTTGCTGCTTTGCTTTGGTGGGATGGAATGTGGTCACGCTAACTGGCTGGCTAGCTGGGGTCAGGTGGGAATATTGGGCTCTATTTTTTTATTTTTTCATTCTTTTTTTCTTTCCACTTTTCATGATGCAAGACGTCTAAAACCGTTCACCAGGTAATTTGCAACGGGGGGACGCCCTGGCATCCGGAACCTAGTCCAAATAATACACCCGAGTTTAATTCCTGCCCTCTGCATATTTTTTATTATTATTATGTTCCGGCCGCGCTCGTGTATGTACATATGAGATCTCTTTGTCCTGATATCGTATTATATCTTTAAACAGTCGAAACTCGTTGATGTGATTTGCACTTGGAGACAATAGATCTATACCTCTTGGATGCATATATGTAGTACCCAATCGTAAGCATCAATAGCTTTCTGTGCTTTATTCGCATACTTCCAAGCCGACTAATTTGGAATCTGTGCCACTGCTTGAGGAATTATATAGCTTGTGCAGTGCTAGGAAATTATACACAGAGTGCTCCCTAAGTGATGCCTAATAATAGTAGCTACTCCTACCCTCACTATATTATGGTTAGTAAATGTACTGTACTAGTACTGTACTGTACTATACCGATCTATGATATATCCATTTCCTTTTCGCTGTTCCTGCCCCTCCTCCCCGCATCTTCAAGTTTCTTTTTCTTGTACAGTATATAACGGATGGCTCAACTTGGTTTTTTGGCGGGCTGGTATTGTGCGGTACAGTACGGTACGGTAACTGTGGATAGGTGATGTCTTTTTTTTTCTTTTTTCCTTCGGTGCGATAACGGTATGGTAGGTGGTTAAATATATTGTACAGTACAGTACTGGTAACGGGGGGGGGGGTTGTATTGTATTGTATTGTATTGTATTATATCATAGCTTTCCGATGAGGAAGGAGGTGACAATAATCCGAATGAATGAATGATGCCGTTTGTTTATTCCCTCCGTTTTCCACTTCTTGAATACCGGTAGCCCATCCGGACGGTTGTCAGTGTCTTCCCCATTCATAAATTTATAAGGTGGCGGTGGTACGCATACCAGATATGAGTCTATGTTCCGAGTCGCAGCGGCCCATGGAGATAAATTAATGCCCAACTATAATACCAAGCCGTTCGATACTGTACTGTACTGTGCTCGAGTAAACTGATGCTCTCGTACTGTGCCGTATATAGACTACCGGTAGGGTACGTGCCCGCAGGTTTGGGGACAAAACTGTTACTGTGCAATAAAAGCCGGATGTTGGCAGTACGCTGTAGGAAGTCGTATTCACAAATGTTGTTCAATTCCGAGTAGCAGATGCGTCATGTATGATAAATACTTGAAAAGCTGTCTGGTGTATGGACTTTTCTATCCTTCATCTCATCCCATGCTCCTGCATTCTTACCATCCTTTCTCAATACCATTACTGTTATTCTCTCTTTTTTTCTTTCACCAAGATGGGCAACTTCTACGGTGGTTTGTGCAAGATATTTGCACTCTGCATGCAAACCTGATTGCTGACTTGTTAGCTTCACTTCTGCCAGCCTTCGAGAAATATTATATGGGGCGCTAGGGGCCACGCTGGCTGCTGGTGTTGGTTCCCTCGTCGATGGGCTCTTGGGTGAGGTGCCAATTGGGAGGTTAACCTGCCGTCATCCACATCCCGACCACGCTCCTCGCCACCCCAATTCCAACCCCCCTCGCGGGTCCAGACCAGCAGACGGGGGCCGTGCTCTAGTTGACAAGGGAGCTGCGGGAGGAGCGGCAGGAGGAGCGGCAGGAGGAGTAACTCAAACGGGAGGAATGCAAGGCACGGCTACTCCAGGCGAGTGAGACGTCCGGGCCATGCCCCGTGCGGGGAGGATGGGTACGCTGCAAGGCGCGAGAGGGGGAATTTTGTTAGATCGGCGGGCGAGTTGGGAGGAGGAACGATAGGGGAGGTAGAGTGACGGGCGGAGGATGAGAAGCGGGCGGCGTGGGATACCGGGTGGGGAAGGGCAGTGGGGAAGGGCCCTGGTCCCCGGAGGAGGAGGCGGGTGTGTGGAGTCATTTTCGCCTTTTTTATGGGAACGCGGGTGCGGTCTATTGATTTTTTTCATTTTCTTGTATCATCTGCGATTGGTATGGGTACCGTACAGCAAGAATACAGAATCCGCCGTATAAACGGAGCAAGGATCTCGCCAACAAAATATCCCATCTCACCCGAGCATATATTCTCACTCGGAAAAAAACATCAATGATCAGAAAAATCCTGCCCTCCCACGTTCGATTAACCGTATTTTATTCCGACATCTACAATGCAACCCCAATTGAAAAACCAGATAAAAAGAAAAAAAAAAAGAGAGCAAGGGTAATAGGAAAATGGGGGGGAATGAAAAACTATAGTTAATTGATCCATCTACAGAAAACACCGTTGATCCTTCTTCCCACGTAGCTGCATTCCTTGATTTGAATCTGATCTTGGTTTTGTTTAGTACACACGCTTGAAAGGTGGGACTGCCGCACACTCCTCTGTGACATGATTAGCAAGGTTCAAGTAGATACAAAGGGAGGAAGAACACACTCTCATCTAGGGTATTTGCAACGACCGAACGGTATTTCAGGTCAACCTTGCCGCGCTGCTCCTTCTGCCACGACAGCGTATGCTTCATCCACTTCTTATCATCACGCTCAGGATAATCTTCTCTCGCGTGTGCTCCACGAGATTCCTTTCTCGCAGCGGCCGCATGTGCGGTTTGAGTGGCGCACGTTAGAAGGTTGTCAAGTTCGAGTGCCTCGACGAGATCAGAGTTCCAGATCATGCTGCGGTCTTTAATTCCTAAATCACGATAGCTGGCGTCAACCTTTTGAATCTTTCCAACACCCTCATCCAAGCTTTCCTGTGTCCTGAAGACCGAAACGTCGGCCTGCATGGTCTTTTGCATGTCAAGTCTAATCTGAGCGGTGCTCTTAGAACCGGTCGAGTTGCGGATCCTGTCTAGGTTGGCAATAGAGGCGGCACCGATATCGGCCGATACTGGCTTTAGTGGGGCTCCTGGGGTTAGGGTGTCGCGGATGGTGTGAGCAACGGCACGGCCAAAAACAACGAGATCGAGAAGTGAATTTGCCCCGAGCCGGTTGGCACCGTGGACTGAAACACAGGCTGCCTCACCGGCGGCGAAAAGGCCGGGAACAACCTTGTCATTACCGTTCTCGTCAACAGTTAAAACTTCACCAGTGTAGCGGGTGGGGACACCGCCCATATTATAATGGACGGTGGGCAACACCGGAATGGGTGACTTGGTGACGTCAACGCCAGAGAAGATGGCCGCGGTCTCCGAAATACCAGGGAGGCGTTCATGGAGAACCTCGGCTGGCAAATGGCTTAGCTGAAGGTATAGATGGTCCTTGTCAGGACCAACACCTCTGCCGTTTCTAATTTCTAGTGTCATGCTTCTGGAGACTACGTCCCGACTCGCGAGATCCTTCGCAGTTGGGGCATATCTCTCCATGAATCTCTCACCCTCAGAATTCAACAGATATCCCCCTTCGCCACGAGATCCTTCGGTAATCAAGCACCCTGCACCATAGATTCCGGTTGGATGGAACTGAACGAATTCCAGATCCTGGTTCGGCAGTCCTGCCCGAGCCACCATTGCCATACCATCGCCGGTACATGTGTGAGCAGAAGTGCATGAAAAGTATGCACGCCCGTACCCACCGGTAGCTAGGACTGTTCTATGGGCTCGGAACCTGTGGAGGGTGCCATCCTCCTGGTTGTAGGCAATGACGCCCACACACTCGCCGTCTTCCATTAAGAGGTCCATTGCGAAGTATTCAATGAAATAATTTGTGTTGTGTCTCAGCGATTGCCCGTACAAAGTATGTAGGAGGGCATGGCCGGTCCTGCGGGCATTGGTTAGGAATATTTGTCGGTTGGGATCGTATACAAGCGCCGGGGAGGGAACCGTTACCTATCTGCCGCGGCGCAACACCTATATGCTTGGCCTCCCTTGCCATATTTCTGCGACTGCCCACCAAACGCACGCTGATATATCTTTCCGTCCTCCGTTCTCGACTATTGCCCCAATCAGCTTTCATTGGTAACAAACACAATGGTAGTATGTATATCTAGGTAAATAAAAAAGAGACTCACAAAAGGACATCCGTAATTCTCCAGCTCAATCACAGAAGCCGGGGCTTCTCTGGTCATATAATGGATAGCATCCTGGTCACCGAGCCAATCCGATCCTTTCACTGTATCGTACATATGCCATCTCCAATCATCTGGGTGCATGTTTCCAAGCGCGGCATTGATGCCGCCCTGAGCAGCTACAGTATGTGATCTAGTGGGGAAGAGCTTGGATACACAAGCCGTATTAAAACCCGCCTCCGCAAGCCCGAAAGCCGCACGAAGACCGGCGCCACCAGCTCCCACGACAATGGCGTCGTATTCATGATCCTAACAAGAGCTTAGAAAAAGAGAAAAGACGAAAATCCGTAGCGGTGAAACAGATAACCAAAAACATACCACGACAGGATACTTGGGAGAAACATGAGGGGAAGCTTCTTTGGCACGGAGCGGCCCGGGGGCAAATATTTTCGCTATTATAGAAGCTTTGTCAGAGATGGGATTTCGCGAGAACGAGGGGTCCCCGCGATGGTGGGCGGGATACAATGGGGAACCTGATTGGAACTGTGATCGAGGTACTACCCACCGGCTGATCTAGTTGCGTGGAACGAACGGGTTTGCAATCTTGCTACCTGCAGAATCTATGTTGCAGCGCTCGGATTAGCCTTCGTCACATGGAATTGGTTTATAGCTGGGGGAGTAAAGGTTGCATCTTGAACTAACCGGCGAAGATGCAAGCCTTCGCAGAGCAAGGGAGCTCATGATTTTGTCAAAAGCGGTAAAAGGGAGTTAGGAAAGATGAGAGGTAAAGCAATTAAATGCCGGGGTAGGCGGAGAGGAGGGGTGATGAAGGGGTTGCGGATGTGAGGAGAGGACAGGAACACGGTAGAGGGTCGAAGTGGTGGTGGTGGAGTGTGGAGTGGGAGTGAGACCAAAGGGTTTGCTCGTGGGCATCGGAGGAGATTGGCATGGGATCATACGAGTATGATACGGCTAAGAGGCACTTCCTCGGCAATCCTCACGTCCTATAAACACATATATTAGGTAAGATGGTCAATCGGCGTTCTTATTGGTTGTCAGGTAAGGTAGACTATCAAAGCTCAAAAGTCTTCTTTCCCGTCTCGACGTCTACCGGCATGCAGGAGCATAGTACGAGTGCTAGTGACTGGCACAATAAACGCAAATCAAAAATCAAAAATCAAAAAAGACTCAACACATCCGCCTCCTCCAGAGACCCGGTCCTCGATGCTGCCCACCCTTCGCCCGCCGCCCCTCAATCTACCCTCCTACCAATCCTCCTCCCAACTCGGCCGCCGAGGAAGCGAAATTCCCCCTCTCGCTTCTCACACCGTACCCATCTCCTGGTCTTTGCTTGTGGGGGGGCTGGGAACGGAGTGGCGGGGAGGGTCGGCGAGGAGGGTGGGAGGAGGGGTGACAAAGAGTGTCAGGGTGGTTATGAGGATGAGGGGGATTGGGCTAGACGTGCCGGCCACAGTTCCAAGGTCATGGAGACCGGACGGGCAGGTTAAACCTCCCAATTGGCACCCCACTCACCCACGAGGGACAAGACACCCGCAACCAACGTGACCCCCGGGCCCGTATAATACTTCTTGAAGGCTGGCAGAAGTGAGGTTAGAATAATGCTCGCCAAAAAACCAAGTGCCTGTCCCCGACCTTTACACAGGCGCAAATAAGCGAACCACCCCCTGTTGTAGAACTCGGGGCTCACCTCTCATGACCTCTTAACATCGCCAGCGGCCCTGTCTTCCAGGGGTGCTTGGTTCATGAGTAACAGCTATCAACACAGTTCCCCTGTCGTCAGGAGTGCTAGAGCGGAGTATGGGATGAGATGAAGGATGGAAAAGTCTGTCTGCCAGGCAGCTTCAAGTGATACCATACTCCATTGCTATACAATCTCTCACACGTTGTGCGATGCGTCTGCTACTCGTAACTTAATTGAACAACGTTTGTGAATACAACCCCTATCATGTACCCCCAAAATTCAGCGTTTCTGCTTACGAGTGGATCCGGGTGTCATGCAATAGTAGTTTTGTTTAAGTACAAGCGTTATTCAATTACCTGTAGTTGGTGGGGTAATGGGGCACGGACACAAATTATGTGGGTACTGTACTGTACAAAAAGAGATACCGCCGACTTATATTACTACCCGTACGAGTACTAACTAGTACGGTACTCACCACCCACTATTCTCCGTTCACGGAGAATGAACGACCCGCCCTTGGTACCACAGATGGGGAAGCCCAAACCGGGGAGAGAAGTACTCGTACAAGTATGATACCGGTACTCGTGTAGATGGTATAGGCACAGTGCAATATCATACCCGGCCCTTTTTATAGTCTCCCGGAACGTGAGTTAAGGGTGTGTTGCCCGAGTTGCCACAAGTCCCTACGAATTTCGGCCAGGTGAAGCGACCAGTTGCACCATAAGTGAATCACTTATTCATTTCCCATTCCGGTGACTTTGGAAAACGTCGAGTACGGTACAAGTCTGATGCCATAGGTGACTTTTTTTTTACAAAAAATCCCGGTAGCGATTCAAAATCGGCATCGGATCTCTACTCCACTCGTACTCGTTCTGGTGTTGTATGATACGGCACAGTCACTTGTGTTAACTTGTGATACCAATACCCGAAGGGGAGCGCCTAAGATGGTACGAGTTATGGCATAGCGTTCCATTTCACCGGAAAGATAGTCTAGCTGCTGTGCTCGAAAGGCTGTGCTCGAAAGGCTGTGCTCGAAAGGGATTCGGTACAGGTAAGCGTGTTGTCGGCTTCAATGAGATCCACTGGTCAGAGTATTGATGCGATACTCGGCAGATATGATATCGCGCTGGACTGTCTAGTCTGCCAACAGTTTTCTAGAGGGCAGTCATTAGAATTTATGATTGCTGTCATGACGAATTCAAGGCCTCAAGGTTTCTGAGAACCAATGCACATCCGATCATAGCTTCAACCATGAAGGTATTTTGTGAAAACAAGCAATGATAGCTCGAATTTGCTGACTGCTGTACTGTACAACTTTAGGCTCTGCACCCACGCTAACTCTAGATGCCTCCTTTTTAAACTAATTATACTGCATGTAAGTGGCGGTGGAATTAAACTTGAGATTGCCCTTGATGACTTTCTCAACACTGGACAGGAAGTCCTTCTCCGTCGCGACCTTTCGCCTGGCCCGGATAGCGAACATTCCTAGAGGTTTCAAACATTAGGCAATGCAATAATAATAAGAACTCAAGGATATTCGGCTCAGCACATACCCGCTTCAGTGCACACACTTCGCAATTCAGCTCCAGTGCTATTGGGGCAAAGTCTGGAAATTAATTCCCATCTGATGTCCCTCTCAACGCTCATGCTCTTTGCGTGGATTCTCAAAACATTTGCCCTCCCTTCCAAATCCGGCAGACTGAACTCTACCTTTCGATCAATACGTCCGGGTCGGAGAAGAGCAGGATCAAGGGTACTAGGCCTGTTGGTCGCAAACATGACTTTGATGTTTCCTCTTGGGTCGAAACCATCCAGCTGGGTAATCAGCTCCAACATGGTTCTCTGAACTTCATTATCGCCGCCGGCGCCATCATCAAAACGGGCGCCTCCGATAGCGTCAACTTCGTCGAAAAAGATGATGCAGGCCTTCTTGGTACGGGCCATCTCGAAAAGCTCACGGACCATTCGCGCCCCTTCGCCAACGTACTTCTGTACAAGCTCTGAACCAATAACACGGATAAAAGTAGCGTCAGTACGATTTGCAACTGCTCGTGCGCAGAGTGTCTTTCCGGTTCCCGGAGGGCCATAGAGAAGGATACCCTTAGGAGGGTCGATACCAAGGTTCACAAATCGTTCGGGGGATAAAAGGGGGAGCTCGACGACTTCACGGAGCTTCTCAATCTGCTCCTTACATCCACCAACATCGCCGTAGGTAACATCAGGCTTCTCTTCGACCGTCATCATAGTAACAGAAGGGTCGATTCTAGGAGGAAGGGGCAAAAGAATTTGGTACTTTTGTCGATCAACACTGTAACATTCATCTTATATTAAAAAAAAAAGCATTCTCGGCAAAGGCCCGGGAAATGACTTACCCAACCCTCATCCCCTCCTCGATATCGGTTGGAGACACTCGTTCTCCAAGGTTAACAACAAATTTCGCGATCTGTTTAACATTGATCACATATTTGGCCTTCTCCGGGTCATCCGCACTCTGAATGATCTTGGTACAGCGCGCAACTTGTAACGGCTGCTCCTCAGACATGCGCTGCTTATCTCCCATGACATCCCATAAATGTGGTGGGGCCAACCCCGTATCGGATTCTTTGACACCTATACTCAGGAGGGGTCAAATCAACATAAATACACTTCCGCATCTAGATGTGATAAAGTTTACCTATTTTTTCGTTAACCTTAGTCTGTAAGTCCTTGATATCTTTCTCGAGTTTCTTTAATGATGCAGCATAGGGCGCGGCGCCATAGGTCTTAAGGACTTGAATATCTCTGTTAATGCCATTCGCGCCACATTAGTATCGTGTTTCCATCACCACATTCACCCATCACATTCACAAAAGCTAGATCGGTAGCACCCCGAAAGGAGACATACTCTTCCGATAATGGTATAATCTTCTTTTCGTCCTCCTCTTCGTCGGCGAACTTCTTATACTTTTCCCAGTCTTTTCCAGTGGCACTAGGCATGGCGACCGGCGTGGGGCTGAAGCGTCCTAAAAGTGAATTTCAAAGAGGCTGATAGGGCTTAGTAGGTGATGGATAGATGAGATGAAGGAGTTGGTTGATAGCGGGTCGGTGAAGGATCGATGAAGGTTGAGTTTGTTGGTGTCAGAGCTTGGGAACCTTGGGTGCAGGATTTCATAAGTTCCCTGGTGACGATCAATCAGCCTCGTTCCCGCGAGTGCCCAGCTCGGCGTACAACCTGGAACTTACCAAAGCGTCCACAATGGACCGTGGTATTATGCCTTCATAATACTTCAATGCGTTTTACTCCTTAGGGCACATAAGACCCCGAATTCTGCTCCTTCTAACTACAGATATCCATGAATTTTGCAGGATAGGCTTGGATGATTGGTATTTGTAGTTTATGTACACACGGACGAGAAAGCAGTAAGCATTGGAAGACTTCAGTACAAGTATTTATTTATCATTTTTATCCGACAATGCTGGGAGCGCTCCGGGGCCACCGAGGGCATCTAGCAATCCATCATGCGGAAAGGTTCTAGGAACTGCCGGCTGGTCCGGATAGAAAGCATAGACGATCCCACAGAATCCGAGCATTGTAGCAATGAACATCCCGTTCATGGCAAATGCCCATCCGGGCTTGAAGTGGGTATATTCTTCAGGAGTAAATCGGCCCAGGAGGTCATCGTCTTCGTGCAACTATTTTGATATGATCAGTTAGACGCACGGGGTAAGTTTTTGGTGTTAAGGGTCAATCCTACCGGCTCTCCAAAGTTGCGGCGGCCTTGCTTGTCCCACCAATCACCATAGGGATCTCTAAATTGACGCTTTTCGGCCGGAGGATTCACGTATCCGCCATTCTATCCTCACAAATATCAACAGGACCCGAGCTAATGGCCCTGAGGGGGCTAGGGGGTCACAAACCATATCAGGATCGGTTGTATCATCGAGGTCCGGGTATTGCTCGAACTTCCGAGGAATTCTGGGGAAACTTGTGTTAAAGGCTCTGGTGGAGTGGGAAGAAAGGAGGGGAAATGTCCGGTAGGCCAGCGACCTCACTAAGAGCACCCGTTGAGCGAACATCTATAGAACAAATCAGATTAGGATAACTATTATAGCACTGAGTGGTTAGTTTGTTGAAGAAAGGGGAACCCACCTCGGTGAAGATGATGTGGGGTTTGGAGGAAAGATTTGATCTATTAAATTGATTTGTCTGCTTTTGGAGCTGCGGGCGCAAAGGCGTTGAGTTTCGAGCCATAGGTTACATCAGGATGAATCCTCGAACCATGCATGTTAATGGCTTAAAGGGGGGTTAAATGATCCAATTTTGGTAATCCGTGAGCACGCTAATTTTTTCGGGGCAAATTGGAAACTGTTCCCAGACTTTTCAAAGGCAAGAAGAAAGAAAAAAAAAACACAGCCGCGACCCGGCTTTGAACCCACGACCAACAGCAACAGCAAAATTATCGCCTCGTCAGACCCAACGGTGTCATCAGTCAAAAGAGCTGCCCATCGCCGCGTACTCTCCTTTTTCATCCATTATCTCAACAACCAGAGCCCTCCGCCACTTAAAACTTCGTACACAGATTCCTCTGATTGTGGCTATTTATTGACCACCAAAATTTCCCATGTTTATCCCTATCTCGGACGTCCAGTACGAGTTTTAGCTTCCGAACCCCACCATCCCTACTTGTATGAGAAGCAATACGCGAAAACGTCCCGGACCATCAGGCTCGCCTGGTCTGTTTTTCTTGTTCTTTACCACTATCCACTTTTATTCTGACTATATTTACAGAGAACGGACACACAACGCCGGAGCCACAGGCTTCCTCCCTGGATCTGGAGGGGGGTTCTGATATCAAGAAACCCCCTTCCAAGAAAAGAAAACTAGACAACTCACCACCATGGAAAAGTGCAACTACGCAAACGCTAACTTCATTCATTGGGGAGGACGGTCGGCGCAAATCTGGCCGAACAAACCCAATTCCCCGGGAGCTGCAGCCCTTTCTAAAGAATGGCACAACCCCGACGCGTCCTACAAGATCTTCGCAGAGGCAATCGGAGCTGAAGAAAAATGCCCTGTTGGCTTCTGCTCCTGCTGCTAACGGAACTCGGTCGCGCAGTGCTACAACAACTCAAAGCAAGTCGCGGACAAGCGGGAGAGTTAGACCGACAACGCCTACTCCAAAATCCTCTGGTCGCAATTCTAGAATCAGTCCTAAGAAGCCCTCAGCCCACAAGGGTACGCCCGTCAAGAAGTCAACACCTGCGAAGTTAACATCAGGGCAAAAGTCAGCCCCGAAGGCTACTCCGGCAAAGTCGTCCGCCCCTCTTAAGAAGAGCCCGGTCGCCGGCACAAGAAAAAGTGCACGTACAGCTGGCAGAAATGCCCCCACAGCGGGAGAAATTATCAATGGGGTTGAGATCAAGCCAGAGTCAGCGACAACTGGAAGGAATGGAATCGATAGAGGGATTGATTTTGAGTCAGATGGAGAGCTGGATGTCGACCCAGACTTCAGAGCTCCAAAGATTAAATTGAGATTCGGTATACCCAAACCAGTGATAACACACCCTTCACATATTCCTGTTCAGAGGGAATTTGATTCTTTTGAAGATTTCCTGGATCATGATGATATAGCCAAGAATCCAGCCCTGTTGGCGGCTGCGGAAGAGGAGGCACGAGAAGAAGCTGCGATACGAAATAAAATTGAAGATGCTGTTGTTAATGGACTCCTTAGACCCGACCAATGTTCATTGTATCTCCCCGAGAAAGTGCCTGAGCCACCTCAACTCTATTCACACCAAGATCATTTGGTTGCGCATGCTTTGTATCTGCAACGACTTTTGGTGAGGGAACGAAAGGAACATATTGAGATAATGAAAAAGCGAAATGCATTGATAATGGCAGAAATCAAAAGAAGGAGACCTTTGACAAAAGAAGAGATCGAGCAAGAGGAGTTTCTGGAGAACCGGAGGATATATAGGGAACAAATTTCTCACCTCCGCCGGAAATGGGAGGAGGTGTTGAAGGTATTTTTACCCTTGTTCCAGCGTCATGCGCACAAAAACCCAATTTGCCCCGGCACAGAGGAGGATGTGCACTCATTTTATGTAAAACTCTACTCGTTACAGCAGCAGCTAACAGATTTATAGGAGGTTGAAACCCGCAGAAGAATGAGGGCAGAAGAGGAGCATCGACTAGCAGGCAAACAGCACCTGAATCAAATGCTTGAGCACTCGACCCAGCTACTCGAAGCTCGGCGAGGGGACCGTCACAACTCTGTGACAGCCTCCGAGGGTGGCCTAGACATGGTGGAGGACGAGGAGGTGGAAGGAGAGTATGATGGAGAGGAAGGTGGAGAGGAGGAGGACGACGACGACGACGAGAGGGTGTCCGAATTGGAAGAGGAACTGGATGAGGCAAATATGTCGACTGCAGATTCTGATGAGGAAGAAGTGGAAGATGACGATGAGAATCTTACGGTGGAGCAGCTGAAAGCAAAGTATGCAGGTCTTGGCCCCAGTCGGACTTCACTTGGAGGCAAGGTGCTTCTCCAGGAGGACGATCTATCCGATATTGGGGAGGGGATGTCGCTTGATGGTAGAACACCTGTGCCATCTGATGCACCCTCGGATGATGAGAATCCGGAAGATGGTGCTTTCGGGATGGATGTTGACGAAAACCCGACTGAGGCCATTGAACTTGAAGAAGTTGACGATATCCTCATGGATGATAGCGACGAATCGGTTGACATGGATTCTGAGAATGAGTCGGATGGCAACGAAGGCGGTGGAGATGATGATTCCGAGGATGGCTCGGAGAGCGAAAATGGGTTTGGATCTGGGTTGCTAGGGTTATACGGGGACTTGCGTGGGTTGGGGGCCGACTCTCGAGATCCGGGGCCTGAAAGCGAGGTCGAGAGTGAGCTTACGGAGCTTACGCAAGAGGACCGGAGTCTCGGTGAATCCTCGGATAGTATTCAAATAGGACCGCTATCAAACGGTTCTAAAATCAATGGCTCTAAACTCAATACCGCCGATGAGTTATTGGAGGAAGATAGGATCGATGAAGTGAGCCTTGTTGTCTACGGATCCCCGCCGGGCAAAGATGTTGGAGACAATTATGTCTCTGCGCCGAGGGTTATTAGTGGTCAAGCACTAGAAATGCCGATACTCAACGGTCATTCCGATACAATGGATGTGGAAACGTCAACATCACTCTCTCACTCACAAGTTGATTTGAAAGAAAGCGGCCACCCTTCATCGCTTACAACATCACCGGAAACCTCCCCCCAACCAAATATGGATATCAAAACTGCGATTCCATTCCTTCTCCGGGGGACGTTGAGAGAGTACCAGCACTATGGCCTTGATTGGCTCGCCGGGCTCTACGATAACCACACTAATGGCATCCTAGCTGATGAGATGGGACTTGGGTATGCTCTTGTGCTTCAATAGATAATTTCCACTAGCTGACTGTGGTTATAGCAAAACAATTCAGACCATCGCACTCTTGGCGCATCTTGCGTGCGAAAAGGAAGTCTGGGGACCTCATCTCATTGTTGTCCCAACGAGTGTCATGCTTAATTGGGAGATGGAGTTTAAAAAGTGGGCGCCAGGGTTCAAAATCCTGACTTATTATGGATCCCGCGAACAGCGGCTTGAGAAGAGAAAGGGGTGGTTTGACAACAACCTATGGCATGTGTGCATCACTTCTTACCAGCTTGTCCTTCAGGATCAAGTTACTTTTAAGCGCCGCAACTGGCATTATTTGATTTTGGATGAGGCCCATAATATTAAGAATTTCCGGTCGCAGAGATGGCAAACTTTACTCAATTTCAAAGCCGAGGCTCGTTTGTTGATTACGGGAACTCCTCTCCAAAACAACCTAGTCGAGCTGTGGTCATTGCTTTACTTTCTCATGCCTTCTGGAGCTTCGAGTGCTATGCCTGCTGGGTTTGCAAACCTAAAGGAATTTCAAGAATGGTTTGCGCATCCCGTGGACCAACTCATTGAAGGAGGCCGAGAAGGTATGGATGATGAAGCCAAACATACTGTCACAAAGCTCCATCGCGTCCTCAGACCTTACCTTCTTCGCAGAATGAAGGCAGATGTAGAGAAGCAGATGCCAGCAAAATTTGAACACATCGTTTATTGTAGGCTATCAAAGCGACAAAGATATCTTTACGAGGAATTTATGTCAATGGCAAAAACACGCGAAACACTTTCATCAGGCAACTATCTCTCCATTATCAATTGTTTGATGCAACTTCGCAAGGTCTGTAACCACCCAGACCTATTTGAAACTCGCCAGATCGTCACATCTTTCGCGATGCAAAAGTCTGCGGTTGCCGACTATGAGGTCAAGGAGCTATTGGTTAGGCGGCGTCTCTTAAAGGAGGATCCATTCAAACCACTCTTTAGCACAAACTTCCTCGAATTTTGCGGGCTTGTGCCCGCCAAAAACAACCACCTCTCGACCCAGCATTCAGACGAGATATCAAGACTTACATCGACGAAGCTCCTTCAAAAGTATTACGAAGATAGGGCGGCAGATATAAAGCCAGTAGAACCAGACTTCGCGACTGTTCGGGGGCATGCAGCTTATCTTGAGCATCAAGCAGAAGTATCCCAGGTTGAAACCCTCCAATCTTGTGTTCGCTTGAACCGATTGCGCACTCAGTACCGCCCCCTTTTTGGAAAGAATCTGGTCGAATTGTGCACCGACGGCGTATCGGTTGGGCCTTCGAAGCCAATACCAAAGAATCGGAAATTGATAACCGATTGGTTCCTTAATCGATCCGAGATCCTCAGTTCGATGATACCAACTCTTGAAGACCGGACTCACTCAATGGGGAGTGTGATTGACAAGTTTGGTTGCATTACCCCTGCTGTTGTCGCGACTGATATGGCATCTATAGCGTTATCCCCACGAGGAGTCGAGCTTATCCAGGAAACCCGAGCTAAGAATCTATTTCCATCGGATCCTTTCCATCAGGCCAGGGTTCGACTATCGATTGCCTTTCCTGATAAACGACTTCTTCAGTATGACTGTGGAAAGCTACAGCGCCTAGACCTTCTCTTGCGTCAGTTGCAAGCCGGGGGCCACCGGGCTTTGATTTTTACCCAAATGACCAAAGTTCTAGATATTCTCGAGCAGTTTTTGAATATCCACGGTCATCGGTATCTCCGCCTTGATGGAGCTACGAAGGTTGAACAGAGACAGATATTAACTGACCGGTTTAATAACGATACGAGGATTCTCGTTTTTATCTTATCCACACGTTCTGGTGGGCTCGGTATCAACTTGACTGGCGCGGATACTGTGATATTCTATGATTTGGACTGGAATCCAGCGATGGACAAACAATGCCAAGACAGATGTCATCGTATCGGTCAAACTCGTGACGTCCACATCTACCGCTTCGTCTCTGAATACACCATTGAGTCAAACATTCTCCGGAAATCAAACCAGAAGCGAATGCTAGATGATGTAGTCATTCAAGAGGGTGATTTCACAACAGACTACTTCAACAAGCTCACAATCCGTGACATGCTCGGAGATGAAGTTATCAAGGATCTAGACGGCGTGGACGATTCGCGAACAGTGGCTGCATCCGGGGTCAACATGGAGAAAGCGCTCGAGGCAGCCGAAGACGTTGAGGACGTTGCAGCGGCCAAGGTTGCGCAGAGGGAAGTTGTGGATGCTGACGGTGCCGACTTTGCGGAGAGGAGCACTCCAGCACATACACCAAGAGAGCCCGGTACTGCTACTGCTGGAACCACGCCTAGAGAGCCGTCAGCACCTACTAGCAACGCCGCTATGACACCGCAAGGGAATACTGAGGAATTAGAAGTTATTACCCAGAGAGGTCTTGGTCATGATATCTATGGTGACGGCTGGAACCGGGTTGATCGAGAACCAGCGCACATAGACGAATACATGATTCGATATATGGAATGGGAGCTAGCAGACATCCCACTCGTTCTCCCAAGCAAGAGTAAGAAAAAAAGTAAAAAGGGAAAGAAGTTTTAGCCACCTACTTCCTTTTTTCCCCTTCTATTCTTCTTTTCTTTCTTCGCTCCTATCGGATTCTATCCTTACTTTTTCGTTCGTCACGTTTCTCTACTTTGAGAAAGGGTTCCCCCATGATACTCAATTTTCCGCTCGCGTCTTTTTTTTTTTCTCTTCTATCTAATTTTTTTCCTCCTTCCCTACCTACACCTCCACCACTCCGCCCTCCATTAAAACTTCGGCCCCGATCACTGCCCCTTCCACCCAGCCAGAACTCTACAAAATAGAACACACCAAAGTCCTGAAACACACCATACGTTGGGCCATAAACTAGGATTTTTCTCTTCTTTCATCCTTTAGGTTATTTTCTCAATCAACTTGGGTATCTTCTCAATCGTTTTCTTGTTTTCTTTCTTTTTTTCTCTTATTAAAACAAAAAAAGGTGGTTTGGCATGGGAGTCACGGTTTTGGAATTTTTCTTAGTTTGTTTTCTCATTTTTTTTTTCCCTTTTCTTTCTCCAATTTGGAGTGGCGCGGTGATGTTGAAGGGAAGGGGGAGCTTTTGATTTTTTTTCTACCGATGTTGCTGTTTTTGTACTCTACTCAGATCAAAGTGTGCCGCATGGATATAGAGGTTATGGTAGGAGCATGGATCGATCTAGGGGAAAGAGGGGGCTAAACACAAAATTGGAGATTTGCAGGAGGTTCGAGATACAACGGCCTTTATACTTCCCGCGGGTGATTTGATGAATCCAAAATTGCATGGGTTATGGATGCCTCCTTGGCAGTACTCGGGTCCTGGTCAGGCAATTATTGCTTGGGGGATCTGCTACGATCCGTGTGGTTGACACCAGATGGGCGCAGTAGAGAGTTTGCGCAGGTAGACCTAGGTGGGAGTTATCAACGATGTCACTAGGGGTTGCCACTCGCATGAACAGCCCATCAAACTCCCAACAGTTGTTGAGTTTCTTAAATCCCATGTATTTAAGAGGTCAATCCATCAGCCAATTCTTAACTTTCATGAAGTTTCTCTTCTCAGGATTGTCCTTGAGAAGAATAGCTACAAAATCATACCTGAATAGAGGCATAAAAGTGCAGTTCAAGTGGGCATTTGTGGTCCTCAATTCCAGGTCCGATTTTCGGGTTTTTACACCTTGACCAGGTGGGACCAAAGAACCAGGTGGCCAAGCCTTATTGTTAACTTATATTAACACCACCTAGGTCTCACTGCGCAAACTCTCTAGTGCACGGTACTGTACAAGCGATTTTGTGGACTGCGGCTTGTAAAGCAGATTTGATGGCCAGCGTTGGAGTTGTCAGTGGAGTGATATGTGATGATCAAAACACACGGCAAAGGTCGGACACAATACCCCGAACGAGATTATTACAAGTCATGAAGATCGATATTAAGCTACATCGCACCATAGTGCCCTTCCGGTATAAGCCTATCAGGGCACCAGTGCATGGCGGCCTTCAGATTACATCTGCAACCCCTTCAAACCCTATCTTTCTCGAAGCCAAACTCACCCTATTTCATCACTAATATTCCTGACGGAGGTGGTATCATAGTACTGACTGCCGGCGTGGTGGGTACTGGTTCCTGCGGTGGTGCTCTGTGAAGTACCTGGCTGGCACAGTAGTTAAAATGCAAAGAATCAATTAACCCCTGCCCAATTATCAGGAACCCACTGCCGAACCGGTCCGTAAGGCTGGTTATTTGCCATAAAACCCCTCCGCGACCGACCGTCCCGTAAACTGCAAACTATCATAATAGTGTTTTTCCGATAAAAGGGTGAGGTGTGAATAGTTGCTATCAACAAATAGTGGACCATATATATAGTCATTTCTTGAGGGTACGATACATCACTGCTCCCAATACAGAATAACCAGGGCCGATCCCTCCAAAGCAGCCTTTGGCACCTCCTTATGGGCTCTAGTAAATAATGCAATACCACTAAAACCAATGCCAAGCATCTAAGTACATGGTACGACTAGCAAAACAGCACAAGACCTTGCGTGAGCATATCTTAGTCTCCACCCCAGAATGGCGGTGTAGGTAGGCAAGTGGACACAATAAACTTAGAGCACCGCGTGAATACCAGCGCTACAAGCCGCACTATACCTCCCGGGCGCCGCCCCGGAAGAATGCAGGGAGAAATAGAGAGTGAACGGAATGCACAGCCTAGGTTTGTAGATAGCAACAACAACCTTTCCAGGTCAAGTTAGCAACAATTCCCACCGGAAAGTTTTTTTTTTTTTACTTTGGATAGCATTTAGAAAGCCGCAAGTTGGTCAATTACCATCCGGAACCGAGGAGAGCAAACCATATATAATTATTATATATGATAATAAAATCATCATCTTCCTTTCGGTTATGCTCTCCTTCTCCTTCTCCTATTCTACATTTTTCCATTTTTCTTATTTTTATTCTGTTATACACCCGTGCTTCCAATATCCCCACCGATTTGGAGAGACTTTCGATCCGGGTGGCGGTATGTACTTTCCAGAACGGGATTCTACATATTGTATCATGTTATATAAGGCTATGTCACCCCGTCGAGGCAGGGAGGGAGGCAGGCAGGCAGGGCCATTCATTCCGTCCTAAAGTCTTGATAGGTATTCCAGGCAATTACCGTAGGAAGCAATAGCTGTCCAGGGCTCGTGAGGATCCTGCTCTGCTCTGGATGATCTTCTCCCAGATTCTGGAGGGGTGGGGGGATGGGGGCGTCGTCAAGGGCCAACCTATGATATGATACTCTCCAGTTTAATCAGGGCGGAAAAAACAGTATCATAAAAACCCAAAAGAAGTCGCGAGTGATAGATAGTGATTGCGGGGACTGGTGGATGACATAAAATCATTCCGATGAAGCACACATTATATTGCCGAGACATGTGATACTCTAACTATTGATGAGGTTCATTCTTTAGAATTGAGATTCTATTTATCAGTGAAAAAAATAAAAAAATAAAAAATAACAAGTATGATATAAAAAAAAAAAAAAAAATTGTATCAGAAAACCGCTGCCCATCCAATCTATAATAACAAAACCCCATTGATTAATAATAATAAATCAAAAGAGAAAAACCCACCCCGCTAAGATCCAGCATGATATACAAGATTTCTACCAAATTGATGAATAGGTCCACTCTAAACCTGATCTTCGCCACCACTCTTCTCCGAATCCCCAGGAGCAGCCTTCTTCTCCATCAACCCGTGCTCAGTTCTCAACTCCCGATCAAGGCTCAGGCCCTCCGTAGCGAAACTCGATACCAACCCAACCGCTCCAAACCCGATCATAGCCTTCCAAACCACCTTGAGCGCCGCAGCATAGCTGATCAGCAGCTCCTCCCGCCCTTCCATACCCGCGGGCATCATCTTGATAATCTGCACGAGGGCGACGGCATCCGCGGCGTACTCCCCGGCCATCGCTCTGAGAACCGCGTGCTTGGCCACCTCCGTCTTCAGGGCGTTCTGGAAGATGACGCCACCGATCGCGACGCCGAATGATTGACCAAAGGCGCGGAAGAAGGAGAACATGGATACGGCGTAGGCCATGTCTTCGTCCGTGGCCGAGGCTTGGATAGCGTAGGCCATGCTCGGGAAGAGGATTCCCGTGCCGAGCCCGCTGACCAGGCTTATGAATATCCAGCTCACGGTTGGGGTGTGCACGTCCAGGAGGACGAGTAGGCCCATTCCCATGACTGTCAGGGTCCAGCCGAGCCAGAGGGCCCAGCGGAAGCGACCAGTTATGGAGACAAGGAGACCAACTACCACAGATGCTGGCGCTACGGTGCTGTGGGGAGAAAAGAAAAAAGAAAAGTTAGTTTGATGAACGATGTGCTGTGAAGAAGGGTACGTACAATGTCTCTGGGAAGACGGCCACACCGGCCATGATTGGGCTGAGACCTTTGATGGCTTCAAAGTATAGTGGTAGATAGTAGAGTAAACTCCAAAGCTGCGGCGAAACGATCAGTAAACCCCCTCTAGACGATCATTGACCATCACAGAGTTCCAAACTTACAATCATCCCATGCATAATGGTGCCCAAATAATTCACCAGAGCGGTCCTGGTGGAAAAAACCGCCAAGTGGATCAACGGCTCTTTAGCCACAAGCCTCTCATAAAGGACAAACCCAGCCAGCCCCACAATACCGAGCACCAACGGGACCAGAGTCCTCCAATGATCCCAAGGGTACATTACACCTCCCCAAGTAATCGGAATCAAGAGACTCATCATGGACGCCACGAACAGCACGGACCCAACCCAATCCACCCTCTTCAGCTTCTCCAGGAAGGAAGTGGTCCTATGATTGAGATTCAAGAACAGAGGGATCAACCCGAACCCAAGGGCGCAGAGGGGGAGATTGATCCAAAAGATCCACCTCCACGACGCCTCCTGCGCGAACGCACCCCCGATGAGGGGACCGCTGACGGAGCCCAGCGCCCACATCATGGACAGGAAGCCAAAGTACTTTCCTCGCTCACGGAGCGGGACAATGTCCGTTACTATGATCTCCGTGAGGGAGATTATCCCACCGCCGCCGATGCCCTGGATCGACCGGCCGACGAGAATTATGGTAAAGTTGTTCGCCAAGGCCGCGACTATGGCGCCGGCGGTGAAGAAGACCAGCGCCACGAGGATTAGGGCCCGACGGCCGAAGATGTCGGAGAGGGAGGCGAAGTTTGGCTGGAAGACGGTGGAGGTTATCAGGAAGGAGGTGCCTGACCAGAAGGCTTCTATTGCCGTGCCGCCGAGTTTTTGGGACATTATCTGGGAGGGGGGGTGTTAATACCGTTTTCGTACCATATCATGAAGGGGAAGAAGGAGAGGGAGCATACGGGTAAAGCTACAGAGAGTGAGGTAGCATCCAACGCAGCGGCCAATGTAATAATACACATCGTCAAGAAGACGACGTACATTCGATTGCTCGGTCGCCATGCTTTCTTGACCTCAACGTTCGCATCAGAGGAAGCCCGACTATCCTCCACCCCCCCAGTCGCAGCCTGCGCCGCAGTAGTAGTAGTAGCAGTAGTATCCACGTCGGTCATAGCGAAGCACTCGAGGTGAATAGTTCTTCGTTATCGAAATCAAAGTCGAATCCTTTATCCCAAAATGTGAGAGAGAGAGAATGAATCCCCCAACGAACGAACCATCCTCCCATCTTATAATAACCTCCCATCTCCTTCAAGTGCAATCCATGGATCGCCTACTGTATGATACAGATCAAGCAAAAGCCTCCCCCCCCCCCCCCTCCAAAGTCAATCTTGCATCCATCCATCCTCGGTAACATACTACCCACCGCACGGCACAAATTTCACCCCGAAAACCCAAGGGTGCAGTAAACTCATTCCCGACCCCCACCTACAGTACCTTAAGTAGGGTAGGCGAGAAAAAGCAGGTCGCCTACGAAAGGAAAAAGGTAACAG